CATCCATAGCCCACCAAATATGATATCCCTAGTCAACCCCGTTGAGCCGAAGCCCTTGTTCTTTAACCATGATACAAGCCTTTATCCGTTCTATAATGACCCTCTCTTGGCACCCGATCTTTCCTTAGCACAATTGGTAAAAGCATAAGTTTGGGGGGAGAGACGAGGAGTGTGAAAGTGATAAAAAGGTACAAAATGAAGAAAAGGGAAGGCAAAAGGAAAAGAAAGAAAAGCCAAAAAGTCAAAAAAAGTGAATAGTATAGAAAAATGAAGGGATTCAATGAAAGCAATGATGAAAGGCTTGGAATGATTAGAAAAGGAGAAAAATGATTGTCATGATCAAGAAAGAGTGACAGTGTGTCTCTATAGTCCCCTAAGAAAGAAGAAAATGACTCAAAGAGTCAAGAAAGTGTGAGCCGAAATGAGAAAATGAAGTGCTTAAGGAAAGATAAAACCTTCATAGACCGATATATCCTACCTTGAACCAAAAGCCTTCATTACATTCCCGCAAAATCCCTATATGATTTCGAGTTGAGTGAGGTTACATTAGTGGTGATTTACATAAGGGGCAAGCTTATGGTACTTAGAGCCGGACTTGTGACCTTCCCTTGAGAGAGATGAGCGTACTTGTCTACAATCCTTGTTTTGAGTGCTACAATCTAAAGTAATATTTGCTTATGGAGAGTAGAGGAGGAAGAGTTTGGGTTCCACAATGGCCTACGTAGTAGAGCGAGCTTCCTTGGTGAGTTAAGTCAACTCTTGATGCTCTTGCGTCGCACTAGAACTATGGTACTCAAAAGGTTGTGTGTTGTTGATAATGCATTTGTGTTGAGGGTAATTGTTAGTCCCAATTGATGCTTGATGAAGTCACCTTAGGACAGTTGAAGTTTTTCCTTTCTTTTCTTGTGGAGGTGGGAATTACCTTGTTTGCTTGAGGATAATCAAAAGCTTAAGTTTGGGAGAGTTGATAACTATGGATTTTAACCTATTATGTGCTCTCTTTTGCTTAGGTTTTGGGTCGAAAATACGTAAAGGTATTTCTGAAAACTGACTTAGTGTGCTTGCTTGCAGGGTTTGGCCAAAGTGAGGCAAAGAAGGCATAATCAACTCATGAAGGAGTTAAACTTGCACAAATCCAAAGCTGGACTGGAGCAATGACAGCGGCAGAAAATAGCGGCCGCGTAAGGACCACTGTTGAGGCGGCCACAGATATGCGGCCCGCGAAAGTGAGATTCAAAGAAGCTATTTTTGGGCACAAGATTGACCGCTGACGCGATGGAAAAGCGCGGCCGCGGAATATCTGGCACGGTCGCGATTGTATTGGCGTACTCCTAGGTTCAGAGACCCTGCAAGTTAAGCTTTGCTTGAAGAATGCGGTCCGCGTCCAAATTACGCAACCGCGGTTTAAGCTAACGCGGACGCGGTGGGTTTTACGCCGTCCGCGAAACAGGTCCCAGTCCAGATTCAAATATGGAGAAACGAGGATCACGGTCATTATTACGGGCCGCGGTAGCTCAAGCACGGACGCGGTCAGAATTACGCCTTCGCAAAACTTTTGCAGGGGCATTTTTGTCCGGGAATTTCATCCTAGTATAAATAGATCTTTTTCATATTTTTAGGGTATGTAATATTTTGCTGAGCACGTGAACGGCTGGTTTTTACCTTTTTGAGTAATCTTAGAGTAGATTTATCTTCAATCTTTAGATTTTCATCTTGTATTTGAATATTATGGCTTATATTTCATCTTCATTTTTGATTTCTACTGTTATTATGAGTAGCTAAACCCTATAGCTAGGGTTGTGACCCAACCCTAGTGTGGGTATTTAATGGGTCTTGAATTTTAGGGCTTAATTGTTTATGGGTTAGTGATATTTAGCTTAATTCATGCTTTAATTGTAGAGTTGGTGGTTGCATACACTGATTCGTGCCTTGATGACTTAGACTCTTCTTGAGAAAGAGGGACTAAGTCTAGGAAAATTAGGCTAACAAGGAATTTGGGTGAATTCAAGAGATTGATAGCCCCAACTAAAGGGTTAAACCTAGAGATAGTAATACCCGACTTGAGCCAATATCATTCGTTATGCATGAACACCCATTTGGTCTTGACAAAGCCAAATCGGGTAAAGTCACTTAAACTACCGAGAGGTACAGAGTGAGCACTTAAGTGTGATGGTTATATCACGACCACAATCATAACAAGCTTGCCCTGAATTCTCGATACCCGTTAGATATCCACCTAGGCGAAAGTCACTGCCCTAGTCCCTTTTAATCCTTGAAAACAACCAACAAAACAATAGTGTACTTAGCTTATTCTAGCATATTATAGTATAGCATTAGAAGTATAATCAATCATGACTATGTTTGGAGGTACAATTTGGAACAACACGCACATCTAGATTAGTTAGATACCTAACTCCAAATCAATTAACTCCATGTGGAAATCGATCCCGACCTTTTTTGGGTAAAACTGCATCGAACATCCTTGCCACTCGATAGTGGTACAGGCTTGGAACCGATCAAACGCCTCCGATTTTCCTCCTCCATTGTTTTTGCCGCCGGTAATGGACCCATTGCGACTTCGTGCTTTTCAGATCTGGATCTGACGGTGGAGATGAGAGAATGGAAGAGAGAGAGAGAGAGAGAGACGGAGAGAGAGAGAAGAGGCGATTGGATCTGATGGTGGAGATGAGAGAAGGGAAAAGAGAGAGAGGCTTGGGCTCCGGTAGAGCTCCATCGGAAAGATGACCTGCAGCGACGGAGTTGGATGGCGGCCTTACCGAGGGCGAAGAGAGAAGGAAAAAGGAGAGAGAGTTGATGGAGAATATAGATAGTTGAAGGAAAAGATTGATATAATGGAATAACTCTATGTATTTGGCATAGCTATGATGGGTAAATTGAAAAACTATGAAAAGTAATTAAATTAAAAGATAGTTATCATCTATAAATAGATATTCGATTTAGCTATGGCAGGTAAATTTTCATTAAACTACAAGTTGGCTTGGGCCCAAAGAATTTAGCTTTGGTATAGCCTAAATTGCTCGCTTGGAAAAATAAGAAAAATTTACCTGCCATAGCTAAATCGAATATCTATTTATAGATGATAACTATCTTTTAATTTAATTACTTTTCATAGTTTTTCAATTTACCCATCATAGCTTTATATTTCATAGTCATTGTGCTTCGAATGCATAATATTTTAGGTGAAATTACAACCTTTAGAGCAGACTCCTATATACATATTCTTTTATAATGGGAAAAATGCATAAATAGTTATTTTTAGGATCCATATTTAACGATTAGCCAAAATTTAAAAAATCTTAAAGTTAAGCCTATGTCAGAATCAACTTCAAAGAGGCACTGTCAAAGCTTAACTTTAGAGTCTAACTATAGACTTGAAGGTCTGAAGTTTGAATGCAGTTCAAATTCAGACGTTTGTTCAAATTCACATATTAGGCTCTGACAGAGCCTAACTATAAACCTGAAAGGTTTGAAGAAGCAACAACAACAACATCATGAAGGGTGGTGAAGTTTGTCAAAATTGGTTAAACATTATATAGTTTTTAAAAAGGCACTCAAAGCGGCTATGTGGTGTCATTTCTACTAAAAAAAATAAAGAAAAATTTTCAGAAACCACTATAGTTTAGTGGCTATTAACTTTCTATAGCTACCATATACATATTTACTTCCTATAGCTAATATTTCGTTGCTACCGGACTGTATTCGCTGTATTCGCACTACTGTATTCATGAATACAATCACAGAATTCGCCTAATAAGTAGGAAGTCCAGCTGTTTAATAACGGAAAGAGGATAAATTAGCATGTATTAATACTAATTTAACTCAACAAACGACCTAAAAATAGGGATTACAACTGTTTAATTTTGTATTCCATGTAAGACTGTATTTATAAATACATTGTGGTAATTCGCCTAAAGAACATGGATTATATCTGTTTAATTCTGTATTCCATGTATTCGCGCGAATGTATTTATAAATACAGTGAGGTAATTCGCCTAAAAAATAGCGATTCCGGGTGTTTAATAACGAAAAGTGCAATATTGAATTGTAGTCAATTTCACTATATTCAATTTAGTTGTATTAAAATAACAAAAAATCAAGAAATAGGGTGTATACCGTTCTATTCCATTCGACCGTATACATTGTATTCAATTCATCGATATTCATTATTCACTATTATACATTGTATTCAATTCACAGTATTCAATTCGACTATATTCAAACAATAAAAAATCACAAAACAGTGATATTCGATTGCATTCAAAAAATAAAGACCTTCGGAATACATAAATACAAGCGAAAAAATAATGTATTTATATAAAAATATAATATATTTTAATGTATTTGTACAGAATTTAATGTATTTGTATCATTGTATGTGACTCAATAGCAAAGAAGAGAAGAAAGTTCGTCGGAGATGGTGTTTTCCGGCCAAGCAAAATACTGTATACATTGTATTAAAACTAAAAAGGATACGAACAAAAACTTGGCCCTCAAATCTTCTCCGGCGACTCTGCTTCAGATTTTCAAAAGCTCAATCCGTAGCCATGGCCAGATCTGTTAGTCTACTCCCTCTTCGCTTCAGATCTATTCTCTTTGCTTCAGAAGTCCACCATCACCACCAAAGTGGGCTGCTACGACGGCTGCCTTGATGGAAAAGGGAGAGAGATTTGAGGGAGAAGAGAGAGGATTGAGAATCTTGCTGATAGAGAAAGAAGGAAGAGAGAGAGAAAGAACACAACTGAAGTATTTCACGCCTCAATGGTAGGGTATAAAATAAATACCTATTTTGCTATAAAATAGAAAAGGTAGCTCTAACTAACAATATTTTTAAATTCTTTTGGTTTATAATAAATAGGGTGTAATAATTTGTTATAGGAGTTAAAATTTCCAAAAAAAAAAATCCCAAGTGAGCAAGTGGCAAGTTTAAGTCATTGGACCAAATAACATTTTTAAGTCCATAGTAAGAGATGCAGCACAAATGATAAGCTCATCTCAGTACATGGGTTGGGCCTATATTTACTTCAACATTCTTGGTTACAAGTCTTCTCCTCCCTCCAAAAATCTCTAACAATGGCGCTTCACATTCTAACATTCACCACTGCAGCACTTCCAATTCCCTCCAAAATATTTAATCATTCAATCCAACCAAGAAGCTCTCTCCACCTTCACTTCTCAAAAGCCATCTCAACGAGGCACTTCTCAGTTCATCACAGTTCAACACAGCCTCAGAAATATGTGTATCCTGACCCAATCCCTGAATTTGCTGTTGCTGTAACTTATTCTTGCATCACTTACTCTTTATATAACTTAAAATTTAACCCTTTAAATAATAACTACTCACTACTATAATCTAATTTGCGGTTTGTTTGTGGGATAGTTTATTGAAGGAAAATTAGTTTACATGTACTATTAGAAAGAAATGAGGCCCAATAGAGTAGTAATTAGTTTGAAATTTTGATTGTAGTTTTTTTTAATGGATTTAAGTTATGTGCTAACAGTGTATTTCACCTATTATAGAAGATTGCTTTCCATTTTCTCAAGGTTACTAATCTTGTATAGAGAATTACATGTAATTATCTTTTAAGTGACCTGCTGGTGTAACTCTTTTCTTACACCATTAGAACTTAGATATATTTTTTACTTATTAATATTGTTTGATATCTTTAATTGGGAATCCCTATGTGCCTTTAGAAGATTAGAATATATAGTGCACCTAACTAGTTTGGAACTGAGATATGATTTGCTACTATTTAATATTGATTAATTTATTTAATTGCGAAATGTAGGAGACACAGAAGTTCAAGGCTGAGCTATTGAAGAAGCTGTTCAAAGAAAAGGAAATATTTGGAGACGAGCTTGACGATGTTGTTAGTGTTTGTGCTGAGGTAAGGCTTTCTAGTGGCACTTCTCATGATTTGTTCAATGAAGTCTAGGTGAAGATATGTAACTTGGTTTATTTTTGATACTTCTCGTATGTTTGGTCTAATTCATGTTACTTTGGCTGTACTATTTGTAATTGAATACTTATACTACATGCGTGGTGTTCAGTCGGACGTTTGATTAATTAACATCTCTTTTTGATTGATCTCCTCATTTCTTTAATTTATTTGGATGAAAATATTTTCTGGTTCGCTTTTGATGTGTGTATAACGGTAAAAGATTAGATTTTTGTACTTTGTAAATGTAGAGAATTGAGGTCTGTATGTTGGACTTCCTTGACTATGTAAAGATGAATTCTTGTCCTTGCTTTAAGTTCTAACATTTGGATTACTATACTAATTGAAGAAGAGATAGCATCGTTGCAGAGTAGAAATGTTCTATTCACTAATGTGTAAATTCTTGGTTGATTAAATGTCACAACTGAATTTCATAGTGTTGCTCTAGTGGATTTTCATTTAATTCTGATTTTAGGCTTTCTACTGATCATGTTGCTTATGTCCAATATATCTGCATTTCTAGTTGTTGATAGTTTCATGTTTCTTCCCTTAGTACAGGATGAAGAAAAGAGCATACGAAACTGATGGACAAGGAACATGAAACTGTCTAATTGCATTAAATATGGCCTAAACTTAAAAGTTCTAAAATAAAATGCGATAAACTGGAAGTGATTGCTTTGAAGATCTATCTGTAGTTTTACTATAATTGTTGATTTTGCACATACAGCTCTGCGTCATTTACTTTGAAGGGACAGATACCGGAGCTTATAGCATAGGAACGAACAATTTTATCAGTTTTGGTTCACATATTAGAAAATAACTGTAGTTTAAGCTAGCTGAACAGGTGCAGTAAGTTCTGCTCGGAACATGCTGAAGACTTGAATGGGATTTAGCGTTGAGAGTTCGTCTTTTGCAGTTATAGTCTTTAGAGGATCTTGAAGCTCTCTTCCAATTGATCCTACAACAGTGAGGTTCATAGCGGTTTTCATGGACCTTTTGAAGATTAAAAACCAGAATTTGTGTACCTCCAGCATATAGTCTTCGTTTTATAAAAATTTAGGTTCCATTGCTGATATGTGGAGAGCTTAAGAGGAATTACTGCAGATATAGTATTAGCCGGCTGATTTTGGAAACATCTCTAGTGGTCCATAAGGTTAGATTTTAATCAACATCGTCGAAATAATGCTCTGGCAGTAAACAAATCGTGCCATCCAACTTAAAGATAACCTCGCGGGGTTTAAATTACATAATACGCGGAGTAAGCAGTTATGACATTTTCCTTTTCCTAACATTAAGCTCAGGAAGTTGTAAACTCTTTTGCTACCTCTAACTACGTTAAGAATAATTGTGTAAACACTTGCTTTTATCTGGTTTTCACTTGTTAGTTTTTAAGGATGAGATGACTTTACTCCACCAGATATGATTAGGTGTGTTGAGTTATCCCACATCGGAGGGATTTGAGGTCCTTGGTCTCCTTATATGGCTTGGCAATCCTCACCTCACAAGCTAGCTTTTGGGGTTGAGTTAGGCCCAAGGTCCATTCTTAACATGGTATCAGAGCCATTGTTGCCTTTTTTGAGGTGAGTTATCTCCCTCTGCAACGCTAGGGTTCCTTTTGTATAAAAAAGGTAGAGTTTTTCTCCCTGAGTATCGCCGACACATTTCGAGCGTACCTTATTAGGTTCATCAATTTTTGGAGCAGCAGAGATACGGTTCCAACGAATCAGAACCTTTTTTTCCAACCAGATCTCCCATTTTTTCTTCTCTGAAGAGTAACCAGGTTCACTACTCCTTGATTCTGCAGATTTTTATTTTTTGAGAACTGTTATTTTTTGAAATTATGGGAGATTCAAAGGCAGTAGTTACAAATTCTGTAGACAATACTGTTTCACACGGTATTTCACAAATTAGTGCGGTAAAATTGGAAGGGGCTGGTACATATCTCGCTTGGTCAAGATCTTGTTTGCTTTTTATTAAGTCTAGAAAGCTGCTTGGTTATATTACTAGAGAAAAGAAAGCACCTGTTGTGACTATGCTTGTTATAGCCAATGGGATTCTGATAATTCCCTTGTTATGACATGGTTATTGAATACAATGCACCCTCGAATTTCTAAACAATATTTATTGCTTGATACTGCTGAAAAAATTTGGAATTCAACTAAGCGTACTTACTCTCGCAAGGGAAATGATGCCCAGATTTTTGAAATTCGAAATAAAATTCATGCAATTAAGCAAGGTGAATTGACTATCACTGATTACTATTCCGAGTTAAGTGGGTTGTGGCAGGAGATTGACTATTATTAGGATCTCCAAGCAAAGTGTACTGATGATGCAGTTCTCTTTCAACAATTGGTTGAAAAGGAAAGGGTCTATGATTTTCTGGCCGGTTTGAACCAAGAATATGATAATATCAGGGTTCAAGTTCTCGGTAAAATTCCCTTTCCTTCCCTTTAGGATGCATATTCTTATGCTTAACAGGAAGAGAACCGACGAGGGGTCATACTTTATTCAGCACCAATGGAGAAGTCTGGGTTAACTGTGTCTCAAGAGCAACCAAAAACATTCACTTTTGATAAAGATCACATGCACTGTGAGTATTGTGGAAAGCCAAGGCATACAAGGGAGACATGCTGGAAACTACATGGTAGACCAACTAGAGGTCGTGGAGGAAAACGTGTAGGTCCATCAAGGGGTCAGGCTAATATTGCAAAAAATATGGAGACATCCAAGGAAACTGCTTCTGGAGAAGCATTGTCTTTGGATGAAGTTCAGCATCTTCGTCGTCTCCTGAATAAACTTGACTCTTCTAATGTTGCTACTTCCAATTACGTGCAATCAGGTATTGCCTTTAATGCTCACCTTAATTCTTGGATTATTGATTCTGGTGCGAATAGACACATAACAGGCTCCTCTAAAGGCTTTCAAAACTACTCTCCTAGTCCCAAAGGGTTATGTCAAAATAGCAAATGGCTCCCAACTCCTATCTCTGGAACAGGTTCTGTTGTCTGTACACCTGATATTACATTATCATCCATCCTGCATGTACCTGAGCTTCCTGTTAACATGCTATCTGTTAGCGCCATCACCAAAAAATAAAATTGTAGTGTTGAATTCTTTCTTGATCATTGTGTTTTCAGGATCTTCAAACAAGGAAGAGGATTGACAATGTAGATTGCATGATGACTTATATTGAATTGATGGAACTCGAGACTTTGTTCGGGCCTATTTTGGAGGAAATAAGGATGCCAACCAAGAAATTATACAGTGGCATAGACGGTTGGGGCACCCATAATATTTTACTTTAAAGAAGTTATATCCTAGTTTGTTTTCTAGAATTGAGTTTGAATCTTTGTTTTGTGATGCTTGTGAATTTGCCAAGCATACTAGAAACTCTTATCCCTTGAGTGATAATAAAAGTACAACTCCTTTTTCGACTATTCATTCTGATGTAACAAACAGTTTCTTTGTCTGGTAGTCGATGGTCTGTTACCTTTATTGATTGTTGCACTAGGATGACTTGGGAGTATTTGTTAAAGGCCAAAAGTGAAGTTTTCTCATGTTTTCGGTCTTTTCATAAGTTGATTAGTACTCAATTTGAGGCTAAGATAAAAATCTTACGAACTGACAATGGCACATAATACATGGATAAAAATTTTGGTGCTCATTTGGAGTCTTATGGGATAATCCATCAAACCAGTTGTCCTTATAGTAGTGCACAAAATGGGGTTGCTGAAAGAAAAAATAGGCATTTGTTAGAAGTCGCTAGATCTCTTATGTTTACCATGAATCTACCAAAACATTATTGGGGAGATGCCATTCTAGTAGCTGCCTATCTCATCAATATAATGCCACTTAAAACCCTCAATTTCCAGAGTCCTTTGCAAGCTTTAGAGGGTAAGAATGATTATGTTGTTTCTCCGAATGTATTTGGGTGTGTCTGCTTTGTTCACACTAGAAACTCTAGGAAACTTGATCCTAAAGCTCTTAAGTGTGTCTTTATTGGGTATTCTCCAACACATAAAGGGTACAAATGCTATCATCCTCCCTCCAGGAGATCCTTCGTTAGCATGGATGTTACCTTTCGAGAATCTGAGCCCTATTTCAGTATTACACCATCACCTCTTCAGGGGGAGAGCTATAAGGAGGAAGAGATGATTCTTCCAAGTTCCACTATTGAAACTATTGCCACTACCACTGGGAAAATGAAATTGGAGAAAGGATTCAGGGGGAGACTATTGGGCATTTGGATGGGCCTGATTTGAAAACTTACTCAAGGAGAAATAGAGTAGAAGAAGTCATCATGCAATCTGCCGAAGTTGAACCTTCTTCTATTGGTGAGTTATCTACATTTGCTAATGAGCTAAATTTGCCTATTGCTCACAGAAAAGCAGTCAGATCCTGCACCACCAAACATCCTTTATCTAATTTTGTCTCCTATAATTCTTTGTCTCCCTCCTATAGAGCCTTTGCCTTGTCTATTTCTTCTGTGTCAATTCCCCAGAATTGGAGGGAAACTTTTGCAGATCCTAAATGGAAGCAAGCTATGAATGAAAAAATGAAGGCCTTGTCAAAAAATAAAACATGGGAACCTGTCACTTCACCGCCAGACAAGAAGTTGGTTGGCTGCAAATGGGTCTTCACTGTGAAGCACAAAGCTGACGGCACAATTGAAAGATTCAAAGCAAGATTGGTGGCTAAAGGATTCACTCAGACTTATGGAGTGGATTATCAAGAGACATTTGCCCCTATTGCTAAAATGAACACTATCAGAATTCTTTTGTCTTGTGTAGCTAATCTTGATTGGGACTTACAACAGTTCGATGTGAAGAATGCATTTCTTCATGGAGACTTAGAAGAAGATGCGTATATGGAGATTCCTCCTGGATTTGATACCGAACAGAGTCAAGGAAAGATGTGCAGATTGAAGAAAGCTTTGTACGGATTGAAGCAATTTCCTAGAGCCTGGTTTGACAGATTCTGCAAAGCAATGATCTCCTTTGCTTACCAACAAAGCAATGCTGATCACACTCTCTTTATTAGACATCAAAGCGGTAAACTCACTCTTCTCATAGTTTATGTTGATGATATAGTAATGACAGGAGATGACAAAGAGGAATTAACCCGATTGAAGAAATTGTTGGCACAAGAATTTGAGATCAAGGATCTAGGAAAACTACAATACTTCTTTGGAATTGAGGTTGCTAGATCAAAAAGAGGAATCTTTATTTCTCAAAGAAAGTACATTCTGGATCTCTTGAAAGAAACCGGTATGATTGGTTGCAAACCAACAGAATCACCCATTGAGTGCAATCACAAGCTACAAACAGGGGTTAGAGAGTCAGTTGATAAGGAGAGATATCAGAGGCTGGTTGGAAGACTTATTTATCTCTCTCACACTAGACCAGACATAGCTTATTCAGTGAACTTAGTGAGTCAGTTTATGCATGATCCCCGAGACTCATATGCAAGCTGTCTTCCATATTTTGCGGTATTTGAAGTCTGCTCCGGGGAAAGGTTTGCTTTTCTCCAAACATGGTTACCTGTGGATAGAGGCCTATATAGATGCGGATTGGGCTGGGTCTCTAGATGATAGAAGATCTACATCAGGTTACTGTACACTCGTAGGAGGGAACTTAGTCACTTGGAGAAGCAAGAAGCAAAGTGTAGTTGCCAGATCAAGTGCGGAAGCAGAATATAGAGTTGTGGCCCAGGGTGTTTGTGAACTTATTTGGTTGCAAAGGCTATTAGAGGAATTGGGACTTTCTGAAAAAGGGGAACTTTCCTTGTACTGCGACAACAAGGCTGCAATCAGTATAACTAATAATCCTGTTCAACATGACCGAACAAAGCATGTTGAAATTGATACGAACTTCATCAAAGAAAAGGTTACAAGTGGTATCCTGAGGTTGCTTCATGTGTCGTTAGAGAAACAACTAGCTGATGTACTTATAAAAGGTCTCAACAAACGGACTTTCCATACATTGATTTGCAAGTTAGGCATGTGCGACATCTTTGCACCAACTTAAGGGGGAGTATTGAATATTTGATTAGAGCTTAATTGTAGTGATTTGATTAGCTTAATTATAGAGATCTTATTTGATTAGCTTAATTATAGGGATCTTATTTGATTTGATTGTAATTAGCATTATTGTCTTTGATTGTCTTTCCTAAATTAGAGATAGGACTGACTGTATAAATATCCTAGTCCATAGGTTGTACAGATATTGAAATATACAAGAAGTCTTTTCTTCTTCTCAAATTCAACATGGTATCAGAGCCAGGCCCATCCCAGTTATTGTTACCGATGTAGGGCCCCCATTTATGTTGTCCACTCTCCAGAGGCCTGGGCGTGGGGGGGGGGGGGTGTTGAGTTGTCCCACATCGGAGGGATTTGAGGTCCTTGGTCTCCTTATATGGCTTGGGCAATCCCCACCTCACAAGCTAGCTTTCGAGGTTGAGTTAGGCCCAAGGTCCATTCTTATCAAGGTGTAATTGACTTAGTTTGAATTTTCATTTGCCTCTTACTTTTCTTTGTTTGAACCCATAGAATGTCAAGAGTCAGATGTTTCATTTAATGAAGATGGGACTTGTAAAAGAAATAGTGCCAATTGAGTAATTGACATGAGAAGGAAAGAAAATTCAATATTCTCAACATAATTTGAGCTTTTTTTCTAATACTTTGTCTTTGGTAGCAATAAATTGACATGCTGACAATCTGTCTCAGTATTGAATGTTCTACTTAAATGTGCTGACTTTGATTGGATCTGGAGAAGAGTTTCTTGAAATAGCCTGCTCTTTTTTCATTTTAATATTCTGCCCTTGATCTGTGAAAATTGTGTAAATTTTATTTCTATAGTTGAAGCTATAGTCCTCTTGAGCAAATATTATTTGGGGGATGCTTTTATTTAGATTGAGTGAATCCATTCCTTTGTCTGAAATTTCCAGAAAATTTCAGACTATCATAAATTTGCTTGTCATCTTCCAACTTAAAGAGGGCAGCCTTGGCGTGACTGGTAAAGTTGCTGCCGTGTGACCAAGAGGTCACAGGTTCGAGCAGTGGAAACAACCACTTGCAGAAATACAGGGTAAGACTGCGTACAATAGACCCTTGTGGTCTGATCCTTCTCCGGACCCCGCATAGCGGGAGCTTAATGCACCGGACTGCCCTTTTATTCTTTTTTATCTTCCAACTTCAGTTTTAACAACTTGGAATGAATAACCTCATAAAACACTACCACACCCATTATGGTCTTTTCTAGTGATATAATTGTACTAACTGACATACTTAGCAAGCACACAACTCTTGATCCAAAGGTCATTTAGTGTACTAAAGATTATGTTCAATATAAAATCATGTTCATTTCTACTGACAATCTGACTTGTTTCTGACCTGGAAATAGTACAATGATTGATATTTGAAAGAAATATCTGGTACTTGTTACTATAGAAATATAGCAGCCCTGGCTGGACAGTTTATATCAAGCTGTACTTGGCCTTTTGTGCCACCAACACTGGCATTTTCTGGAATAAACATTTATTATATGATGCTTTTTTACTTTCATAAGTATTAAAAGATTATACAGTTGGTTTTCTTTAAAGTGCCTTCTTTTGTTTAATCAGATTTTTAATGAATTCTTGCACAAAGAATATGGAGGACCCGGGACACTACTGGTGGAACCTTTTACTGATATGATGGTAGCTCTCAAAGAGAGGAAACTTCCAGGAGCGGCATTGGCTGCGCGAGCATCATTATTGTGGGCTCAAAATTATGTTGATCAGGATTGGGAGACTTGGAACTCAAAACGACTAAGGCAATGAAAATGGTCATTTTAATAATCATCGCTAATCTTCAGAGTTGCTTGGTACCTGTGCTAGTAAAAGGTAGCAGGTATCTGGTGGAATAGTCGAGGTGTGCGTAAGCTGAACCGAACACCATCGATATAAAATTACAAAAAAAAAAAGAAGAGGAAAAATAGTCATGGCTAATCTTGAATCTAGCTTCTGCTCAAGAAAAGAACAATGCTAGAATTCTGGAGAATATGTATTTCCATTTATGGGATGTTCTTTCTATCAAGTGGAGTTAGTTTCCATTCTATTCTATACAAAAGCATTATTGCTCAACATCCCTCATGAACTAGAGTTGTGAATGACAATGGGTGAACAACCAATTTCTGTGAGTTTCTTGTTGCCTATCTTTTAGAAGTCCCATTGCCGGTGATCGGATTGCAACCACCATTAGCTACTGGACTCAGAAATACTCTGTAAAGTCGGACGCCATGATTTGGACCTTGCAGCAGCAGCAGCTAAGTTTGTTGTTCCAGGCCTTTGCCTATGTCCTTCATGTCTCATAGCCTGCAAATGATCAATTTTATGTAATTAGTTCACCTGAATATTAGTATTATATATTAGTCTCTTTCATGTTTTCAACTCTGCTATTGGTTATTGAATTCTTGGAGTATTTCTTTTCATTTAGTTTTTGATCCCATCCTTAACTTTCCTTAAATGAATAGAGCATTATGTTGCACAAAAGGGATATAAAGTTTGTATATTTAAAAGTGTTTAATTGGCCATGCATTTAAGAACTTCCTCTTTTTCTGTCTACCCTTTTCTAAGTATTTGGTGAGACTAGCTTAAATAGAACAGAACAAATATAGAGGATTCATATAGTCGATTTCAACAAGTTAATTAGGGATAAAGGCATAGTTGTTGTAGTACCCTTTTCCCTTCTATGACTCTGTTCTGTTTCTAAATAGATAGTAATTTTTAAGAAAGAACAAAACAAAAATAAAATTTACAAGTGATTGGTTCAAAATTATTACTCCTACCTTGTTCTTATCTGATTCAGATTTTCCAGCTTCAAGTTCACAACTTGACCTCTGATTTTCTTGCAGCTCTGGTTGGTTCATCTTCATCTTTGCATGTTTCTTTGCTCTCAATACCTTCATCACCTCTATAAAACCAAGAAACACCACAAACATTAATTAACATCAAGAAAAGAACAAATAACAAAAGGTTTTGCAGACAAAGAATTGCATACATACCTTGAGTTGTAACAAGTCTATAAGCTCTACCAAGAACTAAAGTATCCGTTGGCCGGAGAAGCTTAACACGGGTGAAACGAACAGTTTTATCGTTGGAATTGTCATCGGAGGAGGAGATAGGAAGAGGAATTATGAGAGAAACATAATGACCAGGGTTCATTTTCATAACCTCAGTAGCAGTCATAGGCCAATACATCCTATCTATTTTTCCATTAGGATGTTGTATTACTAAAGCTGCTGCATCTACAGCCTGACAATTTCCCATTTTTGTTTTCCTTTTTTTTTCTTTTTCTAAATACAATGATCTTTCTTTGACTCCTTAGATGAACAAGAATGAAGAAGAAGATGAGAAAAAAGAAGAAGGATAAGAAGGGAAGGAGGAAGGAAAGAAGGATATGAAATAGACAAGAGTCTTTTTCCAAGTAGTAGTACCCACCCACCCCTCTTTGTGTATGGTAAAATAGGTCTCACTCAAGCTAGCACAACAGTCCCCTCCTCTCTCTATCTATTCCTAACTAATTTATATAGTAGTTATATATGCCACCTAAAAAGATAATTTAAAAAAGTTTTATAAGTTATATGCATGGATAGTGACGAAGCAAATGGTCTTTTCCATGTTACTAAATCATGATTACTGGAGTATAAGCTTTTAATTGTAATTGGCTTTTAAGTGATCTTAATTACCACTAACAAGTGTTGTGAGATGAACGAGATTCCTTCGGCATCAGCTAGAGGTCTCGTGTTCGAATACTGAGAAGGGAAACCTCTTGTTAGGGGTTTAACTAGCCATACGCGGGGCGAATCCAATTAGTTGGGACAATGGTTTCTACTTTCTAGAAACGAGGGTGTTTGTATTGCTTATTTTAAATGCTTATTGGCTTTTAAATACTTTTCTAATTTTTGTGCTGTTTGACAATGATAAAAAGTATTTAAAAAAACTTACTTTTAGGCATTAAAAGTACGAAAATAAGTCAAAAGCCAAAAGTTAGGTATTACTCCCTCCGGTCCACAATAAGCGACCAATTTTTTTTTTTTTTTTTGGTCCAAAATAAGTGTCCATTTATATAATCAAGAAAAAATTCAATTTGTTTTTTCAAAATTACCCTTATGTACGTATCCCTAAAAAGTCCTTTTCTCCTCACATTCGAGAAGAGAAGTAAGTGCTACTATAACTGTGCTGCAATATTTAATTAAGGGTAGTTTAGTTACACTAACTATTTTTGTCTAGAATTTAGTATTTTCTTAATGGGTGTGTCCAAAGTAAATTGGTCACTTATTGTGGACCGGAGAGAGTATCAACTTATGACTTTTGGCTTTTAGCTTATAACTACTTTTTAAAAGCTAATCCAAACACCCTTGAATTGTTAAACCAAAAAGAAGAACGTAACTTTAATTTATCAATTAATTGTGCCTTAATTTTAAACAAGTTGGGACTAGTTATATTAATCCTCTTTGTATTTTGAAGATTCATCAGATTATTTTCTCATTGGTGGTCAACCTAGATAACCACCCTCCTTTATATGAGTTTCATAATCATTTCTGCTTAAAATTCATATGGGCAGAGTTGATTTTTAAGTAACTCAATCGTTTCTTTACATTATACAACAACAACAACTACCCAGTATAGTCCCACAAGGTGGGGTCTGGGGAGGGTAATACGTACACAGGCCTTACCCCTACCCGAAAGGGCAGAGAGGCTGTTTCCAATCGGCTCTCGGCTCAGGAAAAGGAAAAGGAAAACAAAAACAAAAAACAAAAAGCAAAAGAGCATTAGTAACTCCAGCAGAAATCACATAAATAATTATCTAAACATAAACCATAAATAAAATGGCATGCAAATATATCGACCAGTAACTACCATAAGGGGGCACAATACAATACACAGATCCTCTATGGAGAGCCCTACCAAACCCCCCCCCCCCCCCACTCCCCCCCAGCCCCGGGCAGAAGTACGAAAAATTCTAGACGCCCCTATCCTGCAATCCTGATACTAGACCTCCAGACTTTCCTATCAAGGGCCATGTCCTCGGAAATCCGCATTCTAGCCATGTCCTGCCTAATCACCTCTCCCCAATACCTCTTGGGCCTCCCTCTGCCTCGACTCGCGCCAACCACCGCCAGCCGCTCACAACTCCTCACCGGGGCATCGGGGCTTCTCCTCCGCACATGCCCGTACCACCTGAGCCTCGCTTCCCGCATCTTCTCATCTACTGGGGCCACCCCCACCTTCTCCCGAATAACTTCATTCCTAATCCTATCTAACCTGGTGAGCCCGCACATCCACCTGAGCATCCTCATCTCCGCAACCTTCATTCTCTGGACATGGGAGTTCTTCACCGGCCAGCACTCAGCCCCATACAACATGGCAGGTCTAACCACAGCTCTATAAAACTTCCCCTTGAGTTTCTGTGGCACTTTCTTGTCACACAAGACTCCTGATGCAAGCCTCCATTTCGGCCACCCCGCCCCTATACGGTGAGTGACATCCCCGTCGATCTCTCCGTCCCCCTGAATCACCGACCCAAGATATCTGAAACTGTCCCTCTTGGCGATGACCTGAGATCCAAGCTTGACGTCCCTGCCTACTTCGCTCGGCTCGGCGCTAAACTTGCACTCCAGGTACTCTGTCTTAGCACGGGTATATGTGCCAAAAATAATTACTATACTTTCTTTTATTTACGTGTCACATTAATTTTAAGCACGGGTATTTTATACCTCTTCGAAATCCTAGTAATCCATCTGAAACTTTTGCTAGGTGATCTTATTATATATTATAGTAGCTCAAATTGCATTATATTAAACCTCAAAGAAAAAAATAAAATAATATCGGTAAGATTAAGAAAACGAATTAAATGACGTCATCAACAGTAGCTGCCGGCAGAGTCCTAGAATACAGGTAAGGTTGCCACGTGGTTCAACGGCGAGGGGCCGGGATCTTGGACGGCCATGCTCGGCGGTGTCGACGGGGTCAAGATTTGAATTTCTTTTAAGAAGGGAGACAAATTTTCCATTATCAACCAAATAAATAAATAAATAAATAGATAGATAGTAACATGAATAATAATGATATTTACAGGTCAATGCCTAGATATCAATGAAAAATAATTGAGAAAAACATATCAAGGCATGTATCTGAGATTCTATTGTCGCCCCATCTAACTTCTACTACTACTTACCCCCTATTCCCTTCAGATTACCTAAACTCCTTTGGCTACATACCCAAAACACTTGACCTTTTAATTCTTGGACAAATATATTTTTATTTTTATTTTTTTATCTTTCGGACCTGATTTTCGATATTTGCATTGGGTTCATATTAATTGGATTTGCTTTGCAGAGTTTGTTTAAGGGAAATCACTTTTATCGGGACTTTCTATTTCAGGACTCGAATTTAAACTTCAGTTAAGAAAGTAGAAAGATCTTATTCATCCCATCACAACTCTGGGTGATTTAGACAATATATTTGCCAGTAAAATTATCATTTTACTTGTCATAAAAAATTATATTTTGAAATGTTATTATCGATAAAAATTATACGTGTATAGTGTCACATTGTTTCATTTTTGTCCAATTTTAAAACAATTTTGTTCGGTGTTCCACGTCTCATTAAGTAAGATAGGAACGGAGTCAAAATTTGGTTGCAGATTACTAGTGGGAATCATAACTTTCGATTCATGCACTTAAAAAATTTTAATTTTCTCATGACGTTGAAAGTATCTTATTATTTTTTTCTAAACCTTTTGTAACGGAATTTCGTCCCTGAACATAAATCTTTTAAAAGAAAAATATCAATTATGGAGTGAATGTCTTCTATGCCTCTTACATTCGTTGTAAGAATTAAACAAAATCATTTCATTTTTTCCTCATAAGAGCTAGAATAGTCAAAGATGAAATTTCTTCTTTCTACACATGTTACAAGTACAATAAAGATATTAATTGCAAGAGAGAGAGAAGAATAAAGAGGCACACAAAGTTCAGCAAATTCTTGATTAGAATGTAATTTTCTTTCACATTATTAACAGAAAATAAATATTCAAACTTATGATATTATGCAAGTTAATCCGGATATTACCACTAGTAAAATAATAATAATGAAATAAAACAAGAACTCGTGATATTATGATTTTAGTTCTAAATTCTTAACACTGGACAGTTAGAAACGGATTCATACTTTCTAACACTTTGTCACATGACCTTTGGTTGGACAAAGAATTATCTTCTATAATTATTGTTTTCACTATGATTCTAGCAAAATGTGTGTATTCACTTTATTTCGATTCAAACTTTTCTATTACTGCCGGCTTTGCATAAATTTCATTGTCATGATACTCTAGAAAAAAGGTGTCTCTATTTATATGCATGATTATTATCTGAAAAATTGAACCCCTAATGTGGAAATTAATCAATTATTGAAACATTATTATCAGACATAGACCAATTAATGTTTGGTAAAGTGGGCACGGTTTCGTGTGGTTGATGTTTAATCTTCACGATCTCTTAACTCACTGAACTTCAAGTTTAAAGGCAAATCATAAATAAAGCATACCACCATCTACCTAGATTACTAACATATAAAAAGCATAAACTTTTTTAATCAAAAGCTATAAATCTGATTCTCTAATGAACTCAAAAGTAGCATCCACCAACATAAAGAAAAAAAATTCTTTAATCTTTGGTGAAGATGCTCTAATTAAGTACATAGGAAGCATAATGTTTTTCGGAAAATTTCCAGGGAAACTCGCAGCCGCTATTCTTCGGGTGTGTACTGGTTAACCTGCTTACTATGCAATAGCTCGCGAACCACATATGAGATGTAAACCGCACTAGGCAAGCCCGATGCGCCGAGTTCTGACTGAAGAGGCTGCTGGTGAGGGGAATCAATCCCAGGTTTCCCATGTGAGAAATCACTCACCCAACCAACTCAGCCAACCCTTGCGGCTCTGATTAAAGTCATTGTGGAGTATGTACTATTGGGTTTTGGATGTGTTTAATTAATATATTAAATACTTAAAAGAGGGTGAATGGGAAATGGAGGGAAATAAAATTTTTGAGTGAAATTTTAAGTTCCCCCCCTTGGCAAATGGGCATTGTCCCATATTGGAAGAGGAAGAGGTTTTTTATGGGTATATAAGCAATTGCTCTTCTTCTAGCTCTTAAAGAGTTGAGAAGAAGGCAAGCCTCGCGCCGTCGTCGTCGTCGTCGTCGCTCGCTCGGCTCGGCTTCGGCTACGGCTTCGGCTTCGGATTTTTGGAAAATATTAACAGAAATGTTATTAAATATTTGTTTTAATAACAAAATATTAATATTAAATATTAATATTAAATCCAATCCGTTTTTCTGTTTTGGTAACAGAAAAGTAACTACCCTCTTCAATTTTCCCTCTTTATTTTCCCTCTTTATTATTGAGTAAATGGCCATTTAAGTAATGACATTTATGCTGTGGGCGTTTTGCATAAACAGCCATTCTGAAGAGTTGCACCTCTTCAGATTTCAGCCTAACT